GATTATTTTTCTGAAAAAACTTTGGTAAAAACCATGTTCTCGTGTTTGGTTGTAACTTTAAATACAATGCACTAGTTGTGATAGTGATAGTGATGGTGTTGGTGGTTATAATAGGGTGGTAGTGATATAGTGATGGTGATGATAGTGCTAGTAAGATGATAATAGTGACAATAATCATGTCATAATTTATGGGTTGGCCTAACCCATTGGTTGTCTAGATTTTGGCCGAACCCTAAAACATATGGGTTGAACCATATAATCCTGTTTGAAAAACCTTATGGTTTGTATCGGTTTTAAAAATCCTTAAACTGATGTAAATTGAACCAATCGAATATTATATTTAAATGCGTTATACTTTAATTCTTTGAGTATTAGAAGATAAATGATCAATATAATACACATTTTGATATTTATAGAGCAACTTTCATCTCTGCAAGTTTTTTAAAACCCTTTAAAATCTCATCTAAGGTCAAGTTTGACAACTCCAATATAATCTATCTTTTTATCTTTTTTTCATCACATCACCTCTCTACTTTTCTGCACATCTTTTCGTAAAAAGACAAAAAGTGCACTTATTTAGGTCATTCCAAACAACCCCTAAATCTATGATTTACATCAAATTGACAAAACTAAGACCATCTCCAACGGTGAATCAAACCTGGCATCAAATTTAAAATTTGGTGAAAAAGTCACTTTTTTAAGCTCCAACGGTTTCACCAAATCGATATCAAATTTAGAATTCAGCAAAAATGGTACCAAACTGAGTGCAGGCGAAGCATTTCAGTAAATCACTGTTCTTGACCGTTGGGATGAGACGAACGGGTCAACCATCCGGTTGACCAACCGGTTAACCAACCGGTCGCCCCCAGAGAAAGTTCAGACCGTTCACAAAAAGGTTCAAACCAGTCAAAAAAAAAAAAAATTTGCCTAGGTGGTCGACCACCCGGTCGTCAAAAAATTCAAAAAAAAAAGTGACCCCCAAAAATTCAAAAAAATAAAAAAAAAAAAGGTTCAAACAGGTAAAAAAAAAAAAAAAAAAAAATTTTTTGCCGTTACCGGTTGACCGGCCGGTCAACCAACCGGTTGCCCAGTGCAAATTTGATGAAACGGATTTGATGTTGAACCGTTGGAGCGCGAAGTATCAAATTAAGGAAATGACCCATTTTTTACTCAGATTTAGTGAAACATTTGGTACACCGTTGGAGATGCTCTAACTCCTAGCATATAGTCTGCAGCACTTCCTCAATCATCAAAATTGAAACCATCACTTTGGTGCCAAATTTTTCCTCAACATTGACTATGTTGAATTGAATAGATCGATTTCAGTTTTTAATTTTATCAAACACCACCTAACTATATTTTTGCAATATCAAATATGCATATAATTTAACAACATAATGAATGTATTAATGTAATTTTGTATTTTAATTATTTTGTATTTTCATGGTTTAATATGCAGTTCTATTTGTTTCGATGCATTTTAAAATTTTGTGCTATAATTCTCCTTTTTTTTTTTTTTTTTTTTTATTTTTAATCTTATCTTTAAAAAAAAAAAAACTTTGATTGGATTGGTCTAATTTGAGCCCGTGGACTTGCAACCAGACTCGTTTATAACCTTTCATGTGTGGACCATTTATATAAAAAATTATATTGATCCGCTAATTATAACTATCTAATTTAATGAAATTTGTGTTTCAAAAAAACTAACAATGAATATAATTTTAAAAACAATCCATTTATTTATTTTTTTCAAAACAAACGTGACATTAAAAATAACGGTGGTGTTACATGCATCAATTAATATATTAATTAGTATATCAATACTAAGGGGTTGTTTGGGATGACCTAAATAAGCGTATTTTTTATCTTTTTATGAAAAGATGTGCAGAAAAATAAAGAGGCAATGTGATGGAAAAAAGATAAAAAGATTGATTATTTTTTGGTTGCCAAACTTGGCCTAATTATGATATTATTATTAACCCCATTTATTATACAAATTACAAATAGCAAAAACCTTTTACATTATGTCGCATTATCAATTAGTACACTAGTGAGTGCATATAGCATTATTCTAAAAACAAATGTGTGTAAATTTAGGCCTTATTTGGGGTATTCTAAAAAAATTAAAAAGTCAAAAAGTCATTATCCTATTTAAGTCACATCATTTTATTTAAGTCACATCACCTCTCCACTACATCACTTCAAACCCAACTCATATTTCACAAAAAATCAAAAAGTGCACTTATTTAGATCATCCCAAACCACCCATTAATAATTATAATTGTCAAATCAAGATGAATAATCTACACATGAGAGACTATAAAATTAATAATTCAAATCATTAAAATAGATCATTAGTCATCCAATATATTTATTTATTTATTTACTATTATTTTTTTAAGATGTATACTTTTCAGTTATTATTCTCCAATCCTCTCTCATGCTCGATCCTCCTAAGTATTACTACCAAATTTTTTCTTGAAGCGTCACACTTTGAAGCGGCCCACTTTTTTTTTTTTTTTTTAATTGAAGAGTCACTCTTAAAAGGTGTTTAATTAGTGGCTTAGCGTGCAATTATAATAAGTGTGTTTAATGGGTCTTAATTAGGTGGCGCGAAAACAACTGCCCCTCGTTTGTCGTCGCCTTGCGTAACCCCTTCTCAACTTCCTCCAACTAAACCCCTCTCTCTCTCTCTCTCATTTTCCATTATTATGGATATGTTTGCAAACATAAAATAATTAATTTTTTTTTAAAAAAAATCACTATCTCTCTATTATATATATATTTTTAAATTAAAAAATTAATATAAATCACATATCCATAGTTGCCACCTTTGTTATATTTAATTATGATTTATCACCATGTTAGTTATGATTTTTTTTTCTACATATTATTGCCGTATCCAAAAAAATCGTTGGTTATATCTCCCAATCTATGTTACGATTAGTTTTTTTTAGTTATAACTTCTAAATAATTCATAATACTTATAATAATCAACTCTATAATTATCATATTTGTATATATTATATATTTTTTTTAGGATATATACTATATGCAAATTATGACATTTAACTTAAAAAAAATTTGACTCATTGGATTTTTTTGTTTTAACATAAAATATTTTTGTCAAAAATATTTTACTCATTTTTTATTTTTTGGTTGAACAAAAAGTAAGTAAAATATTTTTGTATCATTTTCTTAAAAATAACTTATTTCTAAAAATTTCGTAAATTAACTTTTACAAATTTGACTCTAACTCACTATATTTTCAACACATTTGACTTTTTCAAACAAGTATCTTTAACTCATTAAAAAGTCATAAATAATACTTTTTTGAATAAAAATTTCTCTTTTATATAATAAAATATTTTTATTTTAAGTGTTAATTAAATGTCAAAAAACAAAAACAATTTTTTTTTTTCGTGTAAAATCAATTTGCAAAAAAATATTTTCTTATGTAAAATATTTTACATCGAAACAAACCAAATTTTAACCAAACACTACGAAAGGCATAACTAAATATCTTTTGGATCGTAACAAAAATACTAATATAATCAATATAATAATAAGTCATAATTAACACCACATTGTATACAACTAAGTCAAAATTAATTCATAACTAACATCATAATAGGGATTATGATAGGGATTATGACTTCTTTTGAAAATTAAGAAAAAAAAACTAGCTTATTATTGTTTTTTAAAGTTAAAAAAAAAGAAGTAGAAAGGTGATATAATTCCAATAAGTTAATAAATTAATAAATTAATTTTTTTTAATTATCAAAATAAGCCTATAATTAAATATGATTAACATGATAATTGAGAAATAATGGTATACACTCGAGAAAGGGTGTCTATTATAGAATTTCTCATATACATTTTAAATAAAATTTTAAAAAAATATTTTTCAGCATATACAATAATATATATGCATACATGTATACTTTTCCACAAATATTTCAACTGTATGTATATATCGGTTTGCAGTTACGCTTACTTGCCGGAAAACATCCCCTCCGGCGACCCCCTCGACGATCTCTGGTTAGATTCGAATTCGATTTTCTTGAATCGTGTACGTACGTACTGGTATATATTATTCATGTATGTATTTATATATTTGCTCTATGTTTTGTTTTGAATTTGATTGTTGTGGTGCGATCGTTCAATTTCAATTTCAACTTCATTGTTATTGTTTTGTTAGGGTTTTGAATTGGAGTATCTGAATGAATTTAAACGAAATGAACACAAAATTAGCAAATTGTTGTTTTGTTTCTAATTTCTTTTAAGTATTTTAATTTTTTGAAATTCCAAAAAAATAAAAATAAAAATTCGAGTTTTTGTATTTATTTATTGGGTTTGTTGATGAATTTATGAAATTTACTTGGGATTGAATCGGGAACTACTTTTCTCTCTCAAGAACTTTCTCTTTCTAGAACACTTTTTTTTATTATTTGATTTTGCAAATTTATCGACTTTATATATATATGTCCTGAAAATTGAGGACAAAACCTGTCAAAAACAGACATTAATTCAAATATTATTCATTAAAAATCCACAATATTCGCTATAAAAAACTGCTTTTTATTGATTTTCGTTCCAAAAATCTGTAAAAAATTTGCAAATAGTCAAAACCCAAAAGATTTAAGTATGAAACTCTTGGAATAACAATGTCCCAGATTTATTTCTATATCCAATTATATGTCAGAAGCATGGGGATGGACAATGATCTTCTCTACCACGTGGGCCTCCATGTCTGTTCCCATAACCCTAGAATTATATAGTATTTGATTGCATTCATATTTAATGAAGAAAATAAAATGGAAACAAACAAAAGTATAATAATTTTGAATTTTTATTAGTTGATTGATTAATTGGAAAATAGTTGAAGGAATTACTATGTGTGAAATACGGTTGATTCCAAGATGTCCATGTGAATGTGATATATCCCAATATACAGTTTTTTCAGAGAGACAGAGAGTTGGTTTTTTTTGTTTTTTTTTGAACTAACAGAGAGTTGGGTTTGGAGAGAGATACTTTACCTTTCTGTGGGTTCACTTTCATTCAATTCCCTTTCATGAAAAGGAGTTGGGTAGTAGAAAGAAGAAACAAGCCAGAGAGGTTGTGAGTGAGTGAGTGTGTATGTGTGCACAATACATATCCAGCCCAGCCGACCATGGCATTCCCGTGAGAGAGACAAAAGGAGAGCCATAGAAAAAAGGCCAAAGAATCCCTCTTATCCTGCGCACCTTCCCACCTTTTGTCCTACACCCACAACCCATCTCACTCTCTCTCTACTCTCCCCAATTTGTGAAGAAGGGGGCTAGAGACCCAGGCCTTCTTTTCTTGTATAATTTCAGAGCATCAGATGTTTCCCAATTTCCTGGTCTCTTCTTTGCCATTTCTTGAATCTGATCTGAATATATTTGGGGTTTTTTTAATGAGAAAAGAATACCCATTTGCAGTGGTTGGCTGTGATTCTCAAATTCTTTCTTCTCAGATCTGGGTGTGTCTAAAGATGCATTCTTTTGATTGTCTTTTTCTTTTTCCATTCTTTTCCTTTTTCTTTTTCTTTTTTGCTTTTTTCCACCCTGTTGTATCTTACTTTTGGTTGTGATTTTATGGCAGATTCGTTGCAGAGAAAAGGATCTTGTTCTTGATGAGCAATTAGTTTCATTTCATTAAATGTGAAAGTTCATGAAAACCTGTTCAATGTGTTTGTTTATATGAAAGAAGAAGGAATCAATGTGGTCTAATCTTGAGAGTGTGGATGGATGTACATGAATCAGAGGAGGCATTACGGAAACACTCAGCAGTGGAGATCCCAAGACCACCATTGCTTCCGGCTGACAAGAACAATGGAACCACCCACCGGTCTCGAACAAGGGAAGTCAGTTCTAGGTATAGGTCGCCCACTCCGTCCACGCCTTCCGGTTCCAGGCGATGCCCTTCTCCAACTATCACCAGAACAGTCACAACATCCTCCCAATTGGTACCAAAGAGGGCTATCTCAGCAGAAAGGAAGCGGCCCTCTACACCACCATCACCACCAAGGCCATCAACACCAGTTCGTGATACATCAACAGAGATGCAATTGGCATCAAGAAATATAATGGGTAGTCGGTTGCCTGAGGTTTTATGGCCTTCCACAATGCGCAGTCTCAGTGTTTCCTTCCAATCTGATACTTTTTCTCTCCCTATGACTAAGAAAGAAAAGCCAGTTACTCATGCCCTTTCTGATCGTGCTTTGAAGCCATCTTCAAATGTAGCACAAAAACAGGCTGAAACACCGGTTGTTTCAAGAAAGCCTACGCCAGAGAGAAAGAGGAGTCCTCTTAAAGGAAAGAATGCCACTGATCAATCTGAGAATTCTAAACCAGTTGATGGTTTACATGCTCGACTAGTAGATCAGCATAGATGGCCAAGCAGAACTGGTGGGAAGGTGACTTCCAATGCTTTAACTAGAAGCATGGATCTCACTGATAAGGCAGCTAAAATTCCAACAGTACCGAAAGTGGGAATTGGGGTATCTTCCCTGAGGAGAATGTCTTTACCAAATATGAGTAAACCGTTACTAAAATCAGCCAGTGACGCAGTGAAGCTAGTATCATATCATGATTGTGGGAATATGGACCTTGAGGTACATTCAGTGGATGATATTAAACTGAAGGAATCTGGATTACATAAGCCTGTTATGTCACTTTCATTGGAAAGAATGACATTATTGACTCCTGCTGTTAGATCTCAGTTATTGACTCCTGCTGTTAGATCTCAGTCTTTGCCATTCCTTGGATCACGGCCTGCATCGCCAAGTAAGGCATCGGTAGTTTCATCCTCTATTTCTAGAGGTGTCAGTCCATTGCGAACGAAAGCCTTGAATCCTACTCCTAGAGGTGTCAGTCCATCTCGGGTAAGGCCATCTACTCCATCAAGGCCAGCCAGTCCATCAAGACCAGCCAGTCCATCAAGGCAATCCGGCAGTGCTACTTCTGTGCTCAGTTTTATTGCAGATATTAAGAAAGGGAAGAAGGGTGCAAACCACATAGAAGAAGCTCATCAGCTGCGGCTACTATACAATAGACATTTGCAATGGCGATATGCTAATGCGCGAGCAGATGCTGCTCTCTATACACAGAAAGTAAAAGCGGAGGTAGGGGTTTTTATTTTCGTGGAACAAGCAATCTCTACACAGCTCTTTTTAATGTGTCATATAACTTAGCTACCTCTTCTATTCTTTTTCCTATATAGTTGTTAGGAATTAATTTGTTTCTAAGCTAACCAAAGAAATTGTGGCAGCTTCCTGGATGCACAAATTGCTGAATTTTTTTTTTTTTTCCTCCCAATTGCTTTACTCATATTATATGCTCCTGCATGGTGCAATTGATTAAGGTTTTGAAACCCAAGTAGTTCAAATGTTGGTAATGGCAGCAAAGATATTGAAGCCAAAAAAAAGAAAAATGACTTAATACAGAGCAAGCTGTTAGGAGCAATACATACACAGGCCCGAAATATTTCTTTGCTGATGTTTCATACAATTTTTTTAGTATTATGAATTAGTATTACTAATTGTTTGAATATTTGATTTGATGATGCAGAAAACATTATTCAATGTGTGGAGAACTACGTCAGAGTTGTGGGATTCAGTAACTGAGAATAGGATTAACCTCCTACAGCTGAGGCTGAAACTGAAGCTGTACTCAGTTTTGAATGAACAGGTAATGTCCCTTCTCACTACAACATAATTAAGCACCCCCTCCCCCACAGGCAGCCATAAATCTGTGTGTATGTGCATGTCCTCTTCTTCTTTTAATTTCTTGTGATCGAACATTATATGGTTTATAGTGGAGTGCCTGAAAATACAATTGAATGCAGAGGAGAGTAAGAAAATACTTTGGGAGCTGCATTAGCTAATCACCTTTAGAAGCAAACATATTTCTAAGATATCACCAGTTGATTCTAACATTGCATGTTGATTTAAGATTCTAAAATATCATTTCAAAAGTGGAATAAAAAAGAAGAAGAAGAAGATAAATAACAAAAGTAGAGGTGAAGTCAATAATTAGTGATTGGGAGTAGGCAAGACCTTGATGACCTGTACCAGACAACTAAGATGAAAAAAATAAATAAATAAAATCACAAAGCAGTTCTTGTCATTGCAATATGCAGTTTGGTGAGAAAATCTTCTTCAGGGGTCTTCCTATGCCGGAGAAATTGTTGGAATGTGTCCCACATTGCCTGGAGTTGCCCCATCTGTGCTAATTATAAGGCTCCAGTTTCCCTCTCCTTAAAATCTAGGCTTAAAACCTAGGTTTTAAGAAGTGTGGATTGGGTTTTTCAATTTGGTATCAAAACTTGATTGGGCCTCTGATTGGTGTGCCATTTGTTCGGCTACTGTATGTTGTGGTCCAAGAGAGTATGTTAAAATGTGTCCCACATCGCCTGGAATTGGTCCATCAGTACTAGTTATAAGGCTCCAGTTGAAAAGTCTAGCCTACATTTCTCCTTAAAACCTAGGTATTAAGGACAGGAAAACTGCAACTCCAGGTAATGTGGGACATATTCCAACACACCCTCCTGGACCACAACATATAGTAGCCAGACAAACGGCACACTAGTCACAGGCCCAATCAAACTTTGATACCAAATTGACAAGCTCAGCCCACAGAAATTTCCAAAGCTGTCTCTTTTGTTCTACTTGGATCTTCATGGATTCTGAAGTCAAGAAGAAGACATTTGGCAGTGGGTAATGTTACTAATGCATGCTACATTTCATGGAGTGCCTGTTCCATGATAGCAGAAGAAATACAATTCATAGTAAGGATGTCTTGCTGTTAGTGATTTTAGAACTTTGATTCACAAATGTTATTTGAGATCGACTTAAGCTGAAGGAAAATTTCCCTGTTGCATGGAAAACTGCAGTTGTAGCAATAGTTCGATTAACTGCATTGATTATTCATTAGTTGACAACCCATTTTAGAGTATTGCGTTCTATGTGGTCTTAGGACTGAAGGAAACATTGTGTTGTTACTTGTTGATGATGATGACTATAGTAGTTGGGAGATACTCAGTTTCATGAAAATATTTTCATGCCTTGGTTGTGATTGTATGCCTCCTACTTGGGAGTCTCTAAACTCATTGTTCTCTTGTGCATATTTATGAGAATCTGGTAGTAGAAACTTGATTTAGCAAAATAATTGGTGTTGTTTGTTATAAAATGAAAGAAAGAAAGAGAAAAGGAAAGGGAAGGATGGTAATAGTAATAAGCATTCTTATTGCTAATTTTTCATGAAACTTAAATGAACAAACAAAGTTCTTTCTGGTTTAAATATTTGAACTTTCTAGAATACTTACCATCTACATCAGTGATTGACAACTTTTTTAAGTTAGATTTTAGTTTCATGGAACAATTCCAAAATTCAGATGGTGAAAATGGTAGTGTGGGACATACATGGTACCTACCAAATTATATGGTGGTGTTGAACTTTGTGGAAGACTTACTGTCTACATCAGTGATTGCCAACATTTCGAAGTTTGATGATGTTAGTTTCATGACACAATTCTAAAATTCAGATGGTGAAAATTGTGGTGTGGGACATTGTTAACTTTAGGGAGGAGGAAGAAGAAGAAGAGTGAGAGAGAAAGAGAGAACCGGTTGTGAAAATATTATTATTCAATCATAGGGCTTTACATCATAAGCACATATATTTATACTAATAAACACTAACACATAAGTACCAAACTACCCTCACATAACACTTTAACACTACCTCTCAAGTTGGTGCAAATATATCCCTCAGGCCCAACTTGCAACAAATAGGGTGAAAGACCTTGTGACTAAGACCTTTAGTAAATATATCTGACAATTGATCTTCAGACTTCACATAAGGCATACATATCAAACCCTTATTCAGTTTCTCCTTAATGAAATGTTTGTCGATTTCAATATGCTTAGTTCTATCATGCTGAATAGGATTGTGAGCAATATTGATGGCTGCTTTGTTGTCGTAATACAGTGTCATGGGCTCACCACCAATGATTCCGATATCACCCAACAAGGACTGAAGCCACATAAGTTCACATGTACCATGTGCCATAACTCTATATTCTGCTTCTGCACTAGACCTGGATACCACTCCTTACTTTTTCCACCACAAAAGCGCAGTAACTAGAGGTAGATCGTTTGTTATCTATAAAGCCTGCTCAATCCACATCCGTGAATGCTTCTAACCTTAAGTGACCATAATTAGAAAACAAAATCCCTTTGTCTGGGGCTGATTTAAGGTATCTCAAAATGCAATACACAGCATCCAAATGAGTGGCACGAGGCTCATGCATAAACTGACTTACTATTCCGACTGCATAGGCAATATTTGGACAAGTGTGAGATAGATATATTAGTCTTCCCACAAGTCTCTAGTACCTGTCCTTCTCCATAAGTTTACCAATACCATTACAAAGATGATAATTAGCCTTAATGGGCGAATCAGCTAGTTTGCAGTCCAACATACCAGTTTCCTCAAGAAGATCTAAAATGTACTCCCTTTGAGAAATAAAGATGCATTTGTTAGATCTGGCAACTTCAATTCCAAGAAAGTATTTCAATGCGCCGAGGTCTTTGATCTCAAATTCCTTAGCCAACTGCATCTTAAGATGTGTCACTTCTTCATCATCATTCTATGTCGCAACTATGTCATCCACATATGCAATAAGCATAGTTACCTTATTTGCATTGTGTTTGACAAACATAGTGTGATTTGCGTGAGAATCATTACCTGTAGGATCAATCGTAACAGGATGTAGAGCTGGCATAAGGGATGATGATTGACTTGGTGGCGCAAGCAAAAGTCTGCTCTTTTTGAAGCCGTGAATAAGCCTTAAGATCAGCTCTGTCCAAACAGTCACCAATGTCAGGCTCCACATCACGAGAACCATTAGGCTTCTCCTCACCACAAATAACAGTCTTCTGACTAGGAAGAAAAAAAGATAACTCATGTTGCTATGACTGCTGAAATGACTCATCCGCAATCTCATCCAGAACACGCTCCCCCTGAGAAGATAGTGGAGAAGACGTAAAAAAGACTTAGATTCACAGAAGGTGACATCCATACTGACAAACACTTTACGAGTGTGAGGATCATAACATTTGTAACCCTTCTGAGTAGCAGAATAGCCAATAAAAGCACACCGGATAGCCTTAGGATCTAGTTTACCACAAGCATGAGATTGCAGATGAACGAAATAGACACATCCAAAGACCTGAGGAGGAAGAGACGAGATAGGATAAGACACAGGAAGAAGGTCAAGAGGAATTTGGAACTGGAGGACACTAGAAGGCATGCGATTGATAAGGTAAACAGCGGTAAGGATGGCATCACCCCAAAAAGACTTAGGAACATGCATGATGAACAAAAAGAAGCGAGTAACTCAAGAAGATGACCGTTCTTGCGCTCAGCAAATTCATTCTGTTTAGGAGTGCCAACACAACTAGTTTGGTAAAGAATGTCATGCTCCTCAAGGTAGGCCCAAAAAGTGCCATCAACAATACTCAGTCTCGTTATCACTCCGACGAATTTTTATAGTGGCATTAAAAAGATTGGTTACCACTTTATGAAAAATTTGAAAACAAGAGAAAACTTCACTTTTAGTTCGAAGTAAGTAAATCTAAGTCACACGAAAATTGCAATCAATAAAAGTAACAAACCACCGATACCCAGAGTAGAAACCATAGGGGAAAGCCCCCACACATTGGTATGAATAAGTATGAAAGCAAAAGTATTTCTTTTATTAATTGAAGGATAACAAGTATGTTTATGCTTAACAAGTTTGCAAGCATCACAAACAAAATTATTTCCAGGATAATCTCGAACTAATAAAGGAAAAAGTTTCTCTAAAATACTAAATGAAGGATGACCCAAACAAAGATGCTATTGATGAAGGAGTTGGAGAGAGAAGCCAGTAGTGCACTGAAGAGCCTGAGAGAACAAAGGTAAGGCAGGAGGAACAACATCCAGAAAGTACAGACCACCTTGGGTTCTACCACTGCCAATCATTTTCCCTATAGCCAGTTCCTAAAAGATATAATGTGTAAGGAAAAAGGTCACCGAGCAATTAAGAGAAGTAGTAAGACTACTAACAGATAGTAAGTTGGTTGAAAAATTAGGAACATTAAGCACACATGAAAGGGAAAGTAAAGAGGAACAATGAACTAAGCCCTTGCCAGATATAGAGGATGAAGTGTCATCCGCCACTTTAACCTTATCTCGCTCAGAACAAGCAAAGTAAGAATAGAAAAGACTAGAGGCACCTGTCATATGGTCGGTAGCACCAGAATCAATAATCCAAGGAGATGATAAGGATGCGGATGAGGATATACTAAGTGCACTAGCAGGAATACCTATGTGAGTAAAGTTGGAAGAAGTAGTGGAAGAAGGAGCTATGGTAGGTGAAGAATCTAGCCGAGCCATCAAACCTCTAAGAGTGGATGGCTCATCCTGAGAAATAGGACCAGTATTAGCAGTGGTGCTAGCGAGAATCTTGGACACGTGCTCGGGGACGATTGCCACCACCGCGACCACGGCCCCTAGTGGGACAACCATTCAATTTCCAACAATAATCCTGATCATGTCTGTCCTTCCCACAATAATCACACTTCAAGCAATCCCGATCAATCAAAGAACCTCTACTACCAAGCGGAGGTGGACTGGGCTTGGAGTCTTGGGGAGAAGTAGCAACAAGCAAAGCAGAATGATCCGGAAGAGAGGGTGCACCATCGTACGCCAACTCGCCTCTTGCTGGACAAGAGCATAAGCCTCACGTATGGTGGGAAACGAAGAACGACCCAACACTTGAACACAAATCGGATCAAACTCCAAATTAAGACTAGCCAGAAAATCATAAACACGCTCCTTTTCTACGGTCTGCTGAAACAAAGAAGAATCCTTAGAGCACACAGCTTGGAAGCTCTGATAGTAATCCAATTCTTGCCACAAGCTACACAACTCAGCATAATATACCGTCAGAGGGCTATCCTTCTGATCTAAGCCCCGAACCTTCTTCCTCAACTCATAAGCCTGTGCATCATTGCTCTTTTGAGAGTACATTTGTGTTGCAGCGGTCCAAATCTTATGAGCAGTGTCCAACAAAAGGAAGGTTCGACTAATAGAAGGTTGCATGGATCATAGGGTACCCGAATCACCATCATCAGCAAGTTGTGGATGGGTACCATCAATATAGTCATTCAAATGACGAGCAGCAATAACAAGATTGCAGGAGTGAGACTAAATCAAGTAATTGGTACCATCAAGCTTGACAGGGCTAATTTGAAAAGAGGGACTATCACCAAGAGTCATAACACGACTCAATCCACTCTCATGACCCTTAGATACCTGACTATCACTTTCAGCCATATGATGAGAGAAGTAGAGTGCAGAATCACATGCAAGATATCAAAAAAATTTGAAAACCACTCCAATTGGAGACATCAACTCACCACTAGAGGAGGAAACAATACAAAGCAACAACAAAATGTATCAAAAACAACACCCAGAGACAGACCACGTGAAGAACTCCATGCCAAATCACTGGTAAAAGCGAACAAGCCTCAAAAACCTTCAAACCAAGGCCACCCAACCCCTCTATAGGGAATTTCGGCTCTCAGGGAGAAGCACCAGAGGGAGAAATCAAAGCAAAATAGGGTCACGAATGGACTTCTAGAAAATCAGCCAGTTTTTCCCAAAAATCAACAAAAATTGGAAACACGACCAACCAATGATCAAAAAATTAAAATCAAAATATAGAGAGAAGCCCATCAAATTTCGTTCATGTGGGAATTATTTTTTTATTTTTTTTATTTTTACGGGTGACAGGAACAGGAAGTTACAAGAATTACAGGAATTGAAGAACAAGGAAGTAAAGGATCCAATCTTCAAGGAGGAAGATAATCGCTGATACCATGTTAACTTTAGAGAGGAAGAGGAATTCAAGTGAGAGAGAGAGAGAGAGAACCAGATGTCAAAATATTATTATTCAATCATAGGGTTTACATCATAAGCACATATATTTATACTAATAAACACTAACACATAAGTACCAAACTATCCTCAAATACACTTAAACAAACATACATGGTGCCTACCAAATTTTAGGGTGTAAATTTTTTGAACAGTAGCTAATTCTATTTAAAGTTAACATCAAGTGGAAAGGTTTGAGTATGAAAGGTTTTACAAGAAACAAGGTAGAGCATAAGGGTCTAAGATGGAAGTTCTGGACACAGATTTTGAGATGTACAAATGGTATTGAGCAAAATTAGGACAAAAGGGGAGGAGTTAACATATGAATGAGATATAGTCAGATTTCACACAATGAGTGACACAGTAATTCAGCAGCATTAATGGATATAAATATTGTTGTTGTTGTTGTTGATGGTTTTTATTTTATATTTTATTTTATTTTATTTTTATAAAAAAACAAAACTGAGGATATAAATATTGGTTGACTAGCAAATTTTAGCTTTCAGATGCAGTTACAAAATATTCAATGTTGAGATGCATATGAGGTAGAAAATTCAAGTACTGTATCAATGATATTGTATTCTCTATTAATGCAGCTCAAAACTGCTACATTTTCTGCTTTTGCATTTGGCAGACCATAGCTTAATGAATGGGACAAGATTTGACCAATCATAAAATTGTACATAATTTGAAGTGAAACCAAAATAATCATCTAGAATTTACTTCCTGATATTATCTGAATACATCAAATTCATTCTCCTGTGAAGGAATGTATGCATTTAAAAAGTGGTAATCAAAATAAATGATTTATTCTCCTGATATTTTTTTTGGTTGTATCATGCCATGTTGGGTCATGTTCGTGTCTTGCCATTTCAGGTTTGTGTCAGAAGTACCTTAACACTAACCCAACTTGTTTATTATTTCATATTATCATGTCATTTTTGGTCTATGTCCAATTCATGTCATATCAAAAAAATTCACCCTTACTTAAAAAAGTGTATGGAAAAATTATAAAATTTCTCCACAAATTAAATCTCATGAAACTAATCTCTCTTGGATGAAATTATTCATAAATATTTGATTTCAACTCAATTCTATTTCCTCAATTTACAAATGCTATATTCTATTGTTATATTTGTTTACCAAATTGACTCTAAAATAGTAGATAAAAAATATATTATCTTAAATTTAAAAAGAAAAAAAAACTATATTAGCCTTAAAATCTTATTTTACATACTTTTTTAATCAACTGGATGATATTACATATGGGATTAATAAATGTGATGACACCACTGAGTAGAAATAACATTAAAAGTAACTAATGCTTCATTAAATTAGTTATTTGTGTCATCTTCATGTTATGCATGTTCAACACTAACTTGATCCATTTAATATTCGTGTTACGGGGTCGTGTCATATTCGTGTTTGTGTCAAAAAATGGTCAACCTTAACCCGCTTATTTCATATATGGCTGAAGTCATGTTGAAATTTTCCACCCTTAGCTACAGTAACAAAATGTTATAGTTTGTCAATCTTATTCAAATGGTGCAAATGTCATTTCTTCTATTTTCTTACAAATGCCAAATGAAAGTGCCATCTGTGTGCTCCTCATGAGAGAGGTAGACAGAGTGTGAGTTGGAAATTTAGCAATTGCCAAAACTTGTGGCCTTAGCAAATGCTATAATTTAGCAAGGGGTTTAGCACATCATTGGAGAGTTTTAAAGTTCAGCTATTGGCAAATTTTGCAATGACAGCTCAAATAGCAGACCTTTGAAAATGCCCTGAAGAGCAACTCAAAACTGGGTAATAATCCATTGTTGGGTTAGTTTTTGGGAGCCATGGTCTTTGTTGATATCTGGTCATCAGTGGAGTATCTCTAAAATCATTTTAATAGGATTACAAATTGTCTTCCAATCCACCAAATGCTACTTGAACTCCTGTCCCATATCACAGAATCTCTTTGCAACATTTGAAGCCTTTTAGTGACCAAAGCAGGAATAGCGAACAAAGAGATGAAATAGGAAGTTAAACTCAGCAATGTACTTCTAATCAAGTTGAGGTTTTCCTTTTATGACAAATCTTCATCCCAGCAACTGCATTTGGAAATATTCCACATCTAAATCCTAAACATTCCTAGACTTAAAAGATAAACCCAAATAAGTGGTAGGAATGAAATCCAATCTACAGTCAGAAATAGAAGCAAGAGTCCCAATATTTGGTACATCCCCCAGCGGAATCAAGTCTGGTTTTCCCAATTTCACCTCCAAACCCAAAACAACCAAAATTGTTCATGTGAATTTTGTATTACTCTTTGAAATTGTTAGCTTAGTGTATAAATTTAAACTACTTGTTTTAACTTGAATGTACAATTTTGGTGCCATGAGATGTAGTGAATGAATGTGGTTTAGGAAACTTTCAAGCTCTTGGTTGAACTTAAATTTTCATGTTTTGTGCCATAAGGAGAAGTGAATAAGTGTGGTTCTGTTTGGGGATTTTATGTTGTTATTGTCCATTTATTTTGAATACCAATCATTGCCTCTCTTTTTTTCTTTTTTTTTTTGCCTCGCTATTTCAATGACATTATTTGACTTATGTCATTATCTGAATGCTTGCATATAAATTGGATTGTTCAGATAGCTTACCTTCAGGACTGGGACTCAATTGAAAGAGATCATACTAGTTCTTTATCTCAGGCAATTAAAGATCTACAGTCAAGCACTCTTCGTCTTCCTGTTACAGGAGGGGCAAGGGTATGGCTGTTCATGAAATTTCTTTGAAGTTGATGTTTGAAATGATTGAACCATGAATTAAATCTCCATTTTTACAGGGAAGTATTGAAACTGTGAAGGCAGCTGTTTGCTCAGCCGTTGATGTGATGCAGACAATGGGATCCTCCGTTTATTCTATACTCGCACAGGTGAGATTCATACTTATTGTTTTTTGTTTATGATATATCTATTATGTCATATATAAATTTGTATTAGGTTTTTTCTTCTTCTTGTTTTAGTCCCAATATTTATATGTTCTAATTCCTCTTGGCAATTTTAACGCAATGCACATGTCATCATGCATTTCTTTTCCAGGTTTTTTGTATAAATAAGGTTGATGGGTTATGTAGCCACAAAAATATGGCCTATTTGTGGAAAATCATATTACATTATTGTCTGGTGGTCACAATAGTAGAACCACTTTCTACATTTTTATTAGGAAGTAGTGCATTTTCTCAGAGCTATGGAATAAAGTTATGGGTGTTAGATACCATATGTAGTTTCATATTTGTATCCTTTTAATACTAAAATTTACTTGATAAAGAGAATGCACGGGAAGGAGATTAATAGACATACAAAGAGAAGACCAAAGGAGCAAAAGGATGGAAACTATTTGATGGTAGGGAAAAGCTATTTTAACTATATGTATTAAATCAGGAAACTATATGTATAAAACTCACTTTTTTGGAAGGTCACCACGGTTCGTGTTGTGTCATACACACGCACGTCACACCTACAAAGGGGGAGTCTATGAAGCATGGACACCTCTCTGGAGGTCATGTACCAGTGTCTGACATGTGTCGGACATGGACACAAATGTTGGATGGAGTCACACACACACCATTTTTTTATTTTTTTACCGAAATAACGTACCCAAGGTTGATGAATTTGAGGCAACTAAAAATTTGATATAAAATTAATATATAATATAAAAAGATATGACATTTATTATATAAACTTAAATTTTTTGCATGTGTCCCCAGCCTATTATGTCTTGCATTTTTTGAAAATTTGTGCGTCACAAGTCCATGTTTGTGCTTTTTTGGAGAGAGAAAAATGAAAGAAAATGTTGCAAATAGGCTGGCTTATGTTCATACACATGTTGAGAAATTAAAGAAAATGTTGCAAATAGGCTGGCTTATGTTCATACACATGTTGAGAAATTAATCATGTTGAGTTATTTGCTTATGTAGTATGGATTTGATTCCAAGGAACAGGTGCTTTAAAGTTTAGAGTGGTGAACCTGTTCCAAAATAAATAAGGCTCAGGGAGCTTTACAAGCTTGATGTGATCAGGGATTTGGTGCTCCATGAGCCTTCCTTCCCCCTCCTTGATCTGGAGTGTCATGCATCACTGTTCTTTCGATATGCTCAATGTGTTCCATCTTGCATTGAGGGCTAATTAACAGATTCAACAATATTTAATATTTCGCAGGCCTTGTGTTGCTTGCCTGCGAAACAGCATGCCAACTATGGCATGATTGGCCTTGAGCCTGCAGCGCAGCTGGCCCTTACATCTATGGATGCTTAATAAGGTCCAATGGGACTCATTTGAATGGATTAGATGCTCTGGAGCTCCTGGATTGGGAACAACACCCAAGTGCACCCCATATCCACGTTTCTTTTCTGCTCTCCCTTTGATTTGCTCCATCCTCATTTGAAGCCCAGAGTTTTAGATTATTCATCCAATAGGTCTGTGTCTCCTTCTTGGAAGAATGAATTGTTTACACACCTCACCAAAAATAATTTAGTGTATTTGTTTTGAGTTTTTTGGATTAAGTTTTTTGAAAACTGAGCTTTTTGGTTTTCGTGTTTTTTTGTTTTTATTGAATATTTTAAAATTTTAAACATTTTTTTTTTTACTTTTTTAGATACACCTTATTTAGATATATCTAAAAAGTAAAAAAATATTTTTAAAAATTAATAAATACATAAAAATATAAAAAAATGTACTGAATTCTCGTTTTTTTTTTTTTTTTTTTATTTTTTGGATCTATTTAATTTTTAAAAGGTTTTTTTCACAATTTTTTTATTTTTTAGGTATATTTATGTTAGGTATGTCTAAAAATTAAAAAAAATTGCTTAAAATATTAAAAGAATTCAGTAAAAACAAAAAAAACACGGAAAATAAGAAAGTAGAATTTTCTAAAAAGTGTTTTTGGAAAACTCTAACCAAGCAAAGTGATTAATTTTGTCAAAAATAATTTTAGATTATTCTGTGTTTCTTTTCTTTCTCTTTTTTAAATTGATACCATGCTCTCTCTCTCTCTCTCTCGCACGCGCGTGCGCGCTCGCAAGCTCGTGTGCACAGTAGACTGCTTCATCAGTCAAAATAGTATATGATCTTGCTTAATGAAGTGCCAGAAGTTGCACTTAGTAATTGTCATCAAAAAGTAGTTGCACATAGTAATAACTATTTTATGGAATGCTTGTCGTACACAACAATTTTGCACTATAGTCTGAGAGTATGTGTGCAAAGATTTGTCACAGATAATGATTTAAATCAAGATATACTCTGAACTTTGCATAGAATTGCTTTATATTTATATTACAATTAACAAGAGAAGAGTTGCAAAAATATATGTTGACAAAGTTTTAGATATTTAGTTTAGGTTTAGACATCGGTTATTCCATAGTCTGGTGTAATTTAAAGAAGTTAGTGATTTCCTAATGGAACTTGTTGCGCAGAAGTTGATCATATGTTGTATTGTATGGAAGCTTATGGTATTTCATTGAAATCCAAACCTGCTGCAGTCTGTTAAATTTTGCTTTTTTCATATTTTGACCTATTAAAGTTTTTGTTGTATAATGGAAATTAAAATTAAATGCAAACCATGAGATTTTGTAAAAGCCAATGAGCTAGAATTTTTTCATTGATTTTTATGATTATGAAAAAATCATATGTTTCATGTCTATATCAATTGATAAATTTTCCGTGCACATTTCATGGGCTCGTATTTAAAAAGAATTTCACTAATTTTTTTATATATGTATTTGAACACCATCATTGTCAAATATTGTGTACGATCATTTTAATATATTTTGATCTACTTTAAGAATTTTTGGCAGTATGCACTCGTCATCATTTTTTTGACTCGGGTGGTGGCCTTGCCTTCCTCTTACATTTTGATTTTGAGGCCCAAACAAGTTAATTTTAGAACATTGTTGATGTGAGCACATTGTTTACTAGGTCAAAGATGTATTTTAGTTTCTTTTCTTAAGTTGCGTAGATGTATATGTGCACACACTTGTGCGCATTATCTATCTATTCTATTATACAAAACCAACAGGGTTTTTGGTGTGGATGTCACAACATTTTTTATTCCTAAACTACCTATCTACAACTGTCAAATTCAAATACATTTATCAATCCTTGTAACTACAGATTTCAAGCACACATCCATGTGGGTGTGCCCATCTTCTAGTATATGTATATATACATATTATAATCAGACCTACAGACTTAACCAGAGTTGGTCCTGTCAATGTGGAGTATTGGGAGGAGTGGACTGCTTTGAGATGTAGTCTCTGCCTATATTTGCACAAAGTGGCTTCTCTTAGACTTGAACCTGCAGTCTTAGTCTTGATGGCCAAGTTCTTAATGCTGAAGTGTGAACCAAAGGATGGTGTGTTTGGTAATAAAATATGGATTTTTACATGAAGGTGTGTTCACCAATAAAAAATTCATTCAATCAAAATTTATTGGCTTATGTGCTTAAACTTGAAGTACCATTTTTGTAAATATATTTGTTACGGCAGATTCAGAATTTTTTTCATTAGTCAAAAAGAGGTAATTGTATCTTTTTTGGCTAATAGAAACAATGGACATTGGAATTGTTGGCCTGAATCTCAAATTGCACAATCTTATTGATCTCTATTGATTAAGAATTGGATTCAAATGTATGGTATAGGATGTTGCTTGTATGAATCTATCTACTCATTGTTGGAGATAATATTATATTGTCAAAGATATCAGAAAATATGAAAAATATCATAATATATGGAAATCTCATGATTTGTGCTTTTTTAAAATTTTTGTATTTTTGATTTATTCCAATTCCTTAACTAAAGAGATTTGATTGTATCACCCACTCTATATATATGGTGTATCATGTAAACAAAAGTATTAAATTGAGTGAATGAAAGATGTAGCCTATATTGGCTGAACCACGTTAAACCTTTGTGTTCTTTCTTTTCTGTTTTTGGTATCTATTATCTCTCTATATTCAACTTTATTGCCTTATTACAAATTCAACTCTCATAAGATCTGGAGTATAATGACAACGGTACTCGGAGTGGAAATGGATGCTGAAATCAATGGTACTTTGCTATTGGCTGGTACTTGCCCTACAAGACCATTATTAAATAACGAAGTGTTAATTCCCTCTACAATATCCGAAGGGTTTAGAACTGATAGTATTGCTTTTTTGGTTCTTGAAGTGCTTATTGATTTAGTCTTCTTCATATATTTTCTTTAATTTTATCTCCCTAAATATATGAGCACATTATGGGCTTTAAAGTAAGATTTCATAACCATGTTGAGCTATTTGGCCTGTGCTGCATCTTAAATATTGATTTGCATTTGGTCACTAGCAACAGGTTGCATATCCAATTCTTACTTCTATATATGGTTCATTGGGATTTTCTATGTGCAATTGCTTTAAATGTAGTCCAGAGTGTTCATTTTGATTGCCGAGCACTGCCTTACATCTTTTATGTATTGCAGGTGGAGGGAATGAACTGTCTGGTATCTGAACTGGCTGATGTGTCAGCACAGGAAAGAGCCATGCTTGATGAATGTGAAGCTTTATTGGCTTCAACAGCAGCTTTGCAGGTAAGAACAAACTATACATGGTTAGAAATTTGATTTCATGCACGTAAACACAAACCATGCCTTGCTGATAAACTGAACATAATTAGAATTAGGCTGCATAACTATATATAATATTGTCTTCAGTATCTACACCTCTATGTGTGTATAGTGTATGGATGAGTGTGCCTGTCGTCGAGTTATAGCTGACCAGAGTACTGGTGTGTTTGTTGTGACAAATCAAGGATAAAAGAGATAAAAGAAAACGACAAACACACAAAATAAAACCCAAAAGAATAATAATAATAATAATAATAATAATAATAAAAAAAAAAGATTTAAGGTACTGCTATGAAGACATTATTATATGTGATGATTACAGCTTTGAACTAATGTTAAAGAGATTTCACTGAAATTTTACCACTACAAAACAGATTGAGTTTATTCTCTATCAAATGAGATCTATGAGTTAGTGTCAACTTTATCATCCTTTCAAATTATGAAATGTAGTGGAAGAACACATACACAAACCAACCAACCAAAATTTATAGCTAGGAAGAAATGAAAGAACTTTCAAAATAGCATACACAAGAATGGGGAAGAAAGAGATGACACCATTTATTTTTATTTTTATTTTTTTTCAATGAACATTAGAAATACTTTCATGCATGTGGAGCTCATCTGGTAATCTGGTGATTCATTGTTCGAGCTTGTCTGCCTCTGTCTATGTTACATGGACTCTTTTGTTTCCCCAGTGTACCTGTGCCTACCGGATATGATAAAGGTAAGGGTGTAAGATATGTGTCCGACATCCATACCCAATTTAGACACTAGTTTTTTTTTTTTTTTTTTTTTTTTAACTTCTATATGATGTTTGAAGAACAAGATGCTCACATTTGTTTTAAAGAAGAAAAATTTCTAGCTTTTCACACAAATGGGACATATAAATTTTATATTTTTTTCTAAATCCTATTTAATTTGAAGTATATTTCTAAATAATGTACATCTTATTCAAGAATATTATACAATATCCAATATATATAAATGCTTGAGACATCATTCCCGTATTCATACTCAACTTTTGGATGCATATCCCAATATTCTAAAATGTTTAGAAAGATTTGACGATTGGATAAGCACCCAAATACCCCGAGTCCATGTAACATAGGTTTCCATGTAGCAATAGGTGGCATTTATGACGAAAGCCAATTTATTTTATTCATTGGTTTGAGATATGCCTGTCTGAAAATAGTACGTTCTTGTGTCATCCTGGATGGGATGGCCTTAATTCAGTCTATTCAATGATGTTTGTCGTCAATAAATACCTTCAATGATGTTTGTCAATGCCTTCTCTGTATCTGATCATCTGATATTGTGGTTGGGGTCAATAAATACCCACTTCAGTCACACCCTCTCAACCATTTCTATAAGCACTTGGTAATCGGTAGTTGTTCGTCATTTGGCAGTTAACCATTGTACCTGCACCAGTTCTAAAAACCATTTTTCTTGTTTCTGTTGGCTACATAGATTAATCACTTAAGTTTATTATAATTGTAAATGTGCAACAATATATCAATTTGGTTTTGTTGGTTAACGACTTACTGATCACCCTTCTCTGCATCGTGTTGCTTTTGTATTCTTGCGAATTATATTGGTGTATAGGATGGTTATATAGTTTTTATTTTTATTATTTTATTTTATTTTTGGTGTTGGCTTAAAGCAGGTAGAGGAATATAGCCTTAGGACCCATCTCATACAAATGAAACATACTTTGAAGAATGGTCAGCAGCCAATGATCGGGAATCGGAGCACCTACATGACTGCACAGATGCTAAGCTAACAACATTTTGCTGTGCCTCTTCACCAAAGACAAATAACAACACTGTCTGCTTAGGTCTTAGTGAGTGTATATTGAACCTTTTTTTTTTCTTTATTTACTCTGTGGGGAATATGCATTTTTTCTTCAATTATTTTGTTAAATTTTTTGAAATTTTATTTTATTTTATTATTAGCGTAGAGCTGTTGGCTCCGTGCCTTCCACATGTAATTTTTGTATCACTCAACTGAAAAGAAAATGCATGGCAAAGGTTCAGTGAAGTTTTGTACGTCTTTGCATTTTGCGGTTTTTAGGATTGAACAGGCTTTTTGGGATCATCTTCTTGTGACTTTTGGATTCAGCATTACTAGTCCATGACTGAGAAAAATGGATGTCTGCAATGTTCAAACAGGTATCTGGTCGAAAATCACCTTTATGTTGGGCTGTAGACAAGTTGAGTTGAGCTTTTCAGTATTCAAGTTCAGTTCACTAATGAGTGTTTGGGGTTTCCCTTTTTTGGTGATTTTTTTTTTCGTTCTTTAGTGATTTTTTTTTTTTAATTTTTTTAAAAAAACTTTAGGTTTTCGGATTCTACTTGACTAGATGTATTGGAAAAGTTTAAAATAAAATAATAATAAAAAAAAAAGGTCAAGAAGGGACCAAAAAAAAAAGTGAGAAATAGTTGGTCACTGTAATTTACTTTGGTGTCAATTTGGTCCATATAGTTTCAATTGTATCAATTTTGTTTATTAATTTTTCACATTGTGTCAATTTAGTCCCATGGATAACATCTATCAAGAAATTGAACATAAATTAAAGCAAAATGTTTAAGAATAAAGGTTGAGACCCTCTTTGGAGGTCATCCCCTTGACCCCTTTTAGTTTTGATTGGTCAATTTTTCCTTTTTTTTTTTTTTTCTTCTCACCTCCCTAACCTCCATGTGTGTGAGGGGGTTGTGGGGGTGGGTGTTTTAAGGGGGTTTAAATCAATAAACCATTTCAAATTAGACGTCAACTCTTCAATCACTCAAAGGAGAGTGAATGAACTATTTTCTCCCTGATTTCAGTACAGTTTTGAAAAGGATATTATTAATTGGGCTAAATTAATATAATGGAAAAAATTAATACAATTAGGACTATAAGTACTAAATTTACATAAGAGATAAATTACAAAGACTATGACCGTTATTTTCCCAACAAAGAAAAAAAAAAAGAAGGGTAAATTATATTTTTTATCCACGAACTTTCACTTCAATTTCACTTTAGTCCCTCACATTTTAATTATAACAATTAAGTTCTCAAACTTCAACTTGTATTTTAATATGGTTCTCCCGGTACTTATCGTTAAAATTTTAGATGGACAGTGTTCTCGTAAAGGCTACATGAGCACATTTTAGAGGCATTGATTGAAAAATAATTATATAAAAATTTACACTTTTCACCTTCCAATTTTTATTCAAATTCACATTGATACCTCATGTTTCAACTTTTACTCAAATTTTAAATGATAGGAGCACAGGAGTTCTATATTTAGAGGCCTCAAAAATTCTACCAAAAGTTTTACCAAATGTCTCACATGAGTGTGGGACCCACATGGGACCCACATTGTGTGGGTCCCACATCCATGTGAGACATTTGGTAAAACTTTTGGTAGAATTTTTGAGGCCTCTAAATATAGAACTCCTGTGCTCCTATCATTTAAAATTTGAGTAAAAGTTGAAACATGAGGTATCAATGTGAATTTGAATAAAAATTGGAAGGTGAAAAGTGTAAATTTTTATATAATTATTTTTCAATCAATGCCTCTAAAATGTGCTCATGTAGCCTTTACGAGAACACTGTCCATCTAAAATTTTAACGATAAGTACCGGGAGAACCATATTAAAATACAAGTTGAAGTTTGAGAACTTAATTGTTATAATTAAAATGTGAGGGACTAAAGTGAAATTGAAGTGAAAGTTCGTGGATAAAAAATATAATTTACCCTTCTTTTTTTTTTTCTTTGTTGGGAAAATAACGGTCATAGTCTTTGTAATTTATCTCTTATGTAAATTTAGTACTTATAGTCCTAATTGTATTAATTTTTTCCATTATATTAATTTAGCCCAATTAATAATATCCTTTTCAAAACTGTATTGAAATCAAGGAGAAAATAGTACATCCACTCTCCTTTGAGTGATTGAAGAGTTGGCGTCTAATTTGAAATGGTCTATTTCCTTTTGAATTGAGCATTTTGCATTAATTTATGTTCAATTTCTTGATAGATATTATCCATGGGACTAAATTGACACAATGTGAAAAATTAATAGATAAAATTGGTACAATTGAAACTATATGGACCAAATTGACACCAAAGTAAATTACAGTGACCAACTATTTCTCACTTTTTTTTTTGGTCCCTTCTTGACCTTTTTTTTTTATTATTATTTTATTTTAAACTTTTCCAATACATCTAGTCAAGTAGAATCCGAAAACCTTGAGTTTTTTTAAAAAATTTAAAAAAAAAAATCACCAAAAAAGGGAAACCCCAAAACTCATTAGTGAACTGAACTTGAATACTGAAAAGCTCGACTCAACTTGTCTACAGCCCAACATAAAGGTGATTTTCGACCAGATACCTGTTTGAACATTGCAGACATCCATTTTTCTCAGTCATGGACTTGTAATGCTGAATCCAACAGTCACAAGAAGATGATCCCAAAAAGTCTGTTCAATCCTAAAAACCGCAAAATGCAAAGACGTACAAAACTTCACTGAACCTTTGCCATGCATTTTCTTTTCAGTTGAGTGATACAAAAATTACATGTGGAAGGCACGGAGCCAACAGCTCTACGCTAATAATAAAATAAAATAAAATTTCAAAAAATTTAACAAAATAATTGAAGAAAAAATGCATATTCCCCACAGAATAAATAAAGAAAAAAAAAGGTTCAATATACACTCACTAAGACCTAAGCAGACAGTGTTGTTATTTGTCTTTGGTGAAGAGGCAAAGCAAAATGTTGTTAGCTCAGCATCTGTGCAGTCATGTAGGTGCTCCGATTCCCGATCATTGGCTGCTGACCATTCTTCAAAGTATGTTTCATTTGTATGAGATGGGTCCTAAGGCTATATTCCTCTACCTGCTTTAAGCCAACACCAAAAATAAAATAAAATAATAAAAATAAAAACTATATAACCATCCTATACACCAATATAATTCGCAAGAATACAAAAGCAACACGATGCAGAGAAGGGTGATCAGTAAGTCGTTAACCAACAAAACCAAATTGATATATTGTTGCACATTTACAATTATAATAAACTTAAGTGATTAATCTATGTAGCCAACAGAAACAAGAAAAATGGTTTTTAGAACTGGTGCAGGTACAATGGTTAACTGCCAAATGACGAACAACTACCGATTACCAAGTGCTTATAGAAATGGTTGAGAGGGTGTGACTGAAGTGGGTATTTATTGACCCCAACCACAATATCAGATGATCAGATACAGAGAAGGCATTGACAAACATCATTGAAGGTATTTATTGACGACAAACATCATTGAATAGACTGAATTAAGGCCATCCCATCCAGGATGACACAAGAACGTACTATTTTCAGACAGGCATATCTCAAACCAATGAATAAAATAAATTGGCTTTCGTCATAAATGCCACCTATTGCTACATGGAAACCTATGTTACATGGACTCGGGGTATTTGGGTGCTTATCCAATCGTCAAATCTTTCTAAACATTTTAGAATATTGGGATATGCATCCAAAAGTTGAGTATGAATACGGGAATGATGTCTCAAACATTTATATATATTGGATATTGTATAATATTCTTGAATAAGATGTACATTATTTAGAAATATACTTCAAATTAAATAGGATTTAGAAAAAAAAAAAATGAAATTTCCATCTCTCATCCATGTGTGACGCTAGAAATGTTTCCTTACTAACAAATGTGAGTTTTCTCATCTTCTCAAAGTTAGAATCCAAGTGTGTACATTGGATACGGGCATTGGCCACATATCCCACACCCATAGCCTTCTTATATCCGGAGAATGTACTTTGGGAAAAATAGAAAAGTCCATGTAACACAAGATGAAACTTATCTCAAACTAGAACCTACAAAATCCTTGTGCATTGCATAGATTACAAGTAGCATATGTGTATATATGATAAATGGGTTGGGCTGAGGTTTGAAGAGCTTGGAGTAATAATTTGAGTTAGTGATGGAGAACAGGTAAGGAACCCATCAAATGTAGAGAATGTGGTCAGAATAGGGTCTGTCCCTATCTACCTCGTTGTCCCTATCTACCTCGTTGACTTCTCTAGGTGAGAGTGATGTCAAGAAGGCATTCATCCATTTAAACCACCATGGAGCAACAATCTTGGGATATGGCCTGGTGGTTTGGGCACATGGCATTCATCCATCACATTTGGAGCTCCACTACCCATCATTCAATGATCAGAAGCTGATGGCAACAACTGTTCACTCCTGCAGTAAGCAAATTCAGCAATACAAGAGATAGTTAACCTAGCATCGTACCAAGTGGAAGTGGTTGAGAAAGTGGCCCTAACATCTAAGGAGGCCTGGTTATATAAGGTCAGATTGCAGAAGTACAACCAATCATCCAATCAACACAACAATATTTAGCAACTTTAGTTTTATTAGCTATTGTAATTTCCATTTCCAAATTAGTTTAGTTTGCTCCAATTATTGTAATTCAATCCATTGAATGCAATATTGTTCTTCCATACTTGTCGTGTTTCTTTTCCACTTCAAACGCCTGGAAGATTTGAAGTCCTCATTGAGACAACCAAAGAACCAGGTGATCTTCACCCTGGACAACATGCAATCTCTAGAAAAGATGTCAAAATCCATTTTCGCACCGAACTACACCTAGTCCTGAAACTCTGATGTAGGACAAGATTTTAAGAAATTCTATATTTTTATTTTTAACATTTTATTTATTTTTTATTTTTTATTGGCACTGAGGTGTTCAAATTAAAGTCCGACTAATCCTCAGATGCACAGGCCTTGCCCGCAAGTGCATTACAATTGATTCAAGAGATTTCCCCCAATCCGATGGCCCCAAGAAATTGTTAGATTTCTTGGTGTCCAAGTTTACTTGGCCTCCAAGGTCTAGGTTATTATAAATAGCTATGTAACCCTTATGGTGAAGACTATTTTGTTCAATAATATTAAAATATTTTACTCTTCCTTGTGAGTTCAAGGTTATATTTTCTTGTGGATTCAAGAGTCCCTTTGTCTACTAGAATGATATTTAGTCCCCTGTATATTCCGCTGCATCACGTGTCCATTCATTCACTCCTGAAGCCATTCCTCCTCCTTTCTTTCGTTTTTTCCCCCGAGAAACAACATCATAACTTCTTTTGACAAGCTAAAACCAACATCAAAACTGAACACCCCTAGACTTAATTAATCTAATTGACCTCTACTCTAGTTATTACACAACAAACAGCATGGTAATTCAAGTAATATTACCACCAATTGGCATATAAACACAATTGATTGAACTAAATCATGAGTGGAAAAATATCTACAGTAGCAATAATGAAAAGGGCTTGTCTCACCAAACTTGATGATCGCCTTGGGATTTCCATGGCTCCATACAAATAGGGCAACTCAAGCCATCCAAATTGTATTCACTCAAATCCCTCTTTTTACAGCTTTTCTTTTCAGTTTCAGTATCTGCATTCGTCGACGAAGCCGGCGAAGCTTCATTGTTTACAACCGTTGCAATTCCGCCAATATGTAATTCTTCTCCATCAATGAGCATCGCAGTTGGAAGATCAGAGGGTGTGGGTTGATCAGGGGCTGAAGGAAGAGTCTGGGAAACCCTAATTCTGCCCATTCTAGCAATGTGAGTTTCGCGATGTCACATATATATTGCATATTGTATAATATTCTTAGACATGATGTGATAAATTATTTAGGAATGCTCTTGAAATTAAGTAGGATTTAGAAAAAATATGAAATTTCCATCTCTCATCCATGTGTGACGCTAGAAATGTTTCCTTACTAACAAATGTGAGTTTTCTCATCTTCTCAAAGTTAGAATCCAAGTGTGTACATTGGATACGGCATTGGCCACATATCCCACACCCATAGCCTTCTTATATCCGGAGAATGTACTTTGGGAAAAATAGAAAAGTCCATGTAACACAAGATGAAACTTATCTCAAACTAGAACCTACAAAATCCTTAGCATATGTGTATATATGATAAATGGGTTGGG